GGGTGCCAGTTCTGACCAACTAGAGGTGCCATAATCATACTTTTCTCTTACCTCTGCCACAATCATGGGGCTGAGGTGGTCTACACTCCATTTGTAACAGTCACTCCCATGGGCTCTCTCTTCTTCGAATTCCTGGATCCGCCACTGTATTTTGAAAATGTAGTGTGGAAATAAATTTTAATTGCATTCCTTAAAATTAATTAGATGACTTATAAAAGGCTATAGACGCCAGAGGTCCCGGGGGGCCTCGCCCCCTGGACCCCCACTGGGGCCCTAGCGGCCCCCAGCCAAAGCTTTGGCCTGAGGTCAAAGACTTCCTTATATTGCTATTCGCCTCCCCACCCACTTTCCACAACGGATCTTAAAACCACATTAATTATTTGGCAGCATAAAACACGAAATAATGGATACTGTATCAGCAATAGATTAACCACACACACATGAACAGCATACACAGCCTTGCGCCTACTTGGCGTTCCATACAAATATATCGCGGCCTAACTTGTTCAAGGAGTCCGAACCGGTCCTACAAATATCTCTATGGTCCTACACTGGTCGAGCGGATTCCACACTTCGAGCGATGCATGCTAGTTCGAATGAAAAACATCCATTTATGCGAACAATAACCTGTGCGAGTTATGTACGAATTACTTATTTCAAATATACAAATTTCCTATTTTGAACCATGGAGGTATTATAGTGAACTATAATACCTCCATGTTTGAACTAACAATTTTGGAGCCAGGGGAACCCTGTGGGTTCCGAGGGAAACGCCTATAGCCTTAATTATGTATAGAAGTCGTATTTAATTGAGTTTTAGGTTAACATCAATTTAAAATTTGTTTAATTTTATGGCGTTAAAATTAAACAACTACGTTCATAAAATTATGATTTATCCTATCTTAATCATTCGTAGGCCTAATTGTTCTTTGCGCTCATTTTAAGAAAGTGGGTTTTAAACTATAGACGAATGGTGAAGTGGGGAAAATTGATTTGTCATTATTACTGTTGCCTGATAGTCTTTTCACACTACTACAATAAGGGTTTGTGCACTTTTTGACACCTAGATGTGTAAATATTATTTAAATGTCTCAGTGCTGAATAACAATTACAAATACAGTTACTTCCATTTACAAATATAAATCGTAAATTTAGGCCTTTAGGGCCTACAAATACAACATAATTCAATTACAAATATAATTTGCTTTTTAAAATACAAAGCTCAAACTGGAGACAGAAAAAAGTTTAATTAAGGAATGAATCTCAATTCAGTTTTAAAATATAGGTCTGGTGCTTGTAGCGGCCTCTTGTAGTAGAATTTGCAAAAACTGTAATTCAAACATGGAATAGGTAATTATCAAAAGTACCAAAAACATTTCATAACTTTAGTGCACAGAGCATTTTAGCATATAAAACAACGAAAGTAGCCTACTATTTCACTAACAAATACAAGAATAGGGCGACGATAATTTTTTAAGGATTTTTAAATTACGTTTGTGATCGAGACGTCACTATAAGAACTCGACTTCGCTCGCGCTTATTGTAAACTGAATAAATAGTCGCGTCAAGTGGTTAAGTAATTGAAAAAAAATCCTTACATTAAATTTAAATTTTGCCTATTATTAAAAAGACGTATTGCAAGAATCGTTATTTTTAACTATAATTAAACAAATGGCAAAAGAAACTTGTCTAAACTAATACACAAACAACATGGTGTCGGTAAAACTAGCCAATGAGCAATTGCCAGCTAGCTAGTAAAGTAGATATCAGTGGATAGGCCTGCCTTTGAATCTGATGCAGACACG